GCCTGAGGCGTTCCCCATAGCGTCATTCGACGTATTGTTGAGTTCCCTTCGAAAGGGAATCTTAGTTATACCAAATAGCAAAAATAAATAAATAAATAAATGATTTTTTATTTTGTTTGTGCCCATGATTCTCTCATGTTATCTGTTAAATCTTACCATCACCAAGTTCTAGTCTGTACAGTCTTTAAACACCAAGCCTGGATAGCCTTAGCCACTAGTCTGTGCATCATAGAAATGCTCCTAGAAAACACAAATAGCTAAATCAATAACTTACATTTAAACATGAAAGCATAACCACCCAACATCAAAAGTTATTCTGAAGTACATTTTGCATAAATATTTAATCTGAAAGAATTAATTACCCATTCTAAGAAAATTGGTCCTCCAAAAAAGGAAATAAAGTGACAATTTCACGTGCATTGTTGTTCTGCAGTCTGTGGAAGTGTTCTTCTATTTTTCAGTAGGTGTGCTAGTAAACAAGAAAAGATAGTTTGAGGATAAATATATACTTTTAATATTTGCACATCACAAATATTGTCATAAACAATATAAAACACGTATTGTAATGAGTTAAAACACTTACTATTTGTTTTTACTGCTAAAAGCACTCCATGTCAGCACTGCGTCACAAGTCAAAGAAGATGCAGGCCTAACTTAGTCTGTGAGAAAGGTTTAAGCACGCACATCACATAAATATCGTTACAAAACAATATAATGCCATGAAATACATTTTGTAGATTAGATTAAAAACACGTAACTTACTTTGTGTTTTAACGATACAAGCAAACCTCCCTCGTCGTCAGCTCAGTATATTGAGTCAAAGAAGATAGTCGCCTTAGAGAAAATATTCGGCTCGTTTAAGCGCACAAAGCATTTAAATATCACTATAAATCAATATATTATAACATAAATATTGTAAATTAGATAAAACACTTACTTTCGCCGTTTCCCTGTTAAAAAGCAAACCCATCCTGGTCAGCTCCCCAGACAGCAAACTGACATTGAATCAACGTGGAAACGACGTCTCTCATGACATTGAAACAACGTTGATTTTGCTCATCGAATTAACGTTGAACCAACGTCAGACGCGGCATTCTTCAAAGCTAAATGAAAATTGGTTTGCTTTCATAACGTTGAAACAACACGTTGATTTCAAGTTGATTTTCCGTTAGTTTTGAAAGAATGACGCGTCTGACGTTGGTTCAACGTTAATTCGATGAGCAAAACTATGTCAGATCAACGTTGTTTCGATGTCATATTTCCACGTTGATTCAATGTCAGTTTGCTATCTGGGTCTGCATCGGGCGTCGACGGAAGTGCTCCCCTGAGAGCGGTTTAGCCACGCACAGCAAATACACATTGTTATAAAACAATAAGACGTTATACAATGCATATTTAAATGCGATAAAACACTTATTCCATGCGTTTTCCCTCATCTAATGCCTTGCATCGCGAATAAAAGAAAATGGCGTCTGTGTAAAAACTGTCTCTGCACGTTTCGTCGCGCTCAGCAAGTAAAAGTCCCGGATGTAATTCAACACAGTGTTTATTAAATCAGAGGCGTCAAATATGTTTCTAGAACAGTGAATAAAATGTTGAAAATTGGCTAGAATGTGTGTGACAAACTCTGGTGGTGATATGCATAAGAATAACTTAAGGAAAATTTTATGTTTGTACTAGGTTAAGAATAGTATTATATTTTATTTAATTTTATTTTTTTATTGAGAAAACGTTAAAGGGAACTAGAGAGACATTTGAATCCATGAAACTAAAAATAATTACAATTCTGCATCTTATTTCACATGAATCATCTTTCTAATACATTAAGTATCCTTTTCAGGTTAAGAATAGTAGATGTACTAACTTAGTAGGCCTACTGTGATAAAGTTTACAGAAATTGTCACAAATGAAAATGAAATCTGGTGATACAGAATTTAAAATAAAACTATTGATATGTAAAATATTCAACTGTATCTTGTAGAATACACTCTAACGCCTCAGTCATTCTCCATTCTGCATTCACACAGCGCGTCACGTTCGGTTGCGACAGTAACACGACGACACTCTCTTCAAGATCAATGTTCCCAATATTATACTTTATTTGTAGATAAAGCATAAAGGTCTATGATTTGCATAAAATGACTATCTTGCTGAAGTGGAGTTTATTGCCCTTTCTAAATCACATTCCCTGGCCGGGCGTACAGCACTGGAGTCCAGGGTTCTCAAGTTTGAGCAAAAGCTTGGAGTGAGATCACACGCGGTTAGGGGAGGAGCCATAATGAAGCCCCGCCCCACCCATCCCCGCCCCCAATTTTACCCATTGTTCATAATTAACCAGAACAAATTGAAATTATAACAATTAGTAAATCTGATAAATGACAGAGCAATTCATCACATCAAATATACTCTTTAATGCAGTATTACAAATATAGCTAACCAAAAATATAACAAATTGCTCCAAACAGTTTCAAACAAATCTTTAAAAATTGCATTTTGAATGCGACTTCTAGACGAATGATTTATTGTGTGGTGGGACATTGAGAACAAATGGACAGATTAGAGTGCACCACCTCTTCCACTGTCTCCTCCTCTAATCTGGCAACCTTTTTAGGGGGCTTACCCTTTCGTGCCCAAAATGACAAAATATCTTTCTGCTTTTTTCCTGACATCTTTGAAAAATACAAATGCAACATTATGACAATGATTAAATATTACCCAGAGCAATCTGCTGTAATACATCCTTAATGTAACTAGAAAGACTATTAATATTACAGTATAATATAATTTAAAATAAAATGAGTAAATCTTCATTCCTTTCCATACCCACTAACATTTCTTTTAGTTTCAGATAACGTAAGATAGCCAAACTGAGCCTGGTTGCAAAGTAGTTGTAGAGTTTTTGACTGCATCAATAATAATGTACGATGGGCTATATATTAAATGTTCTAGTCTAAAAATGTTAGACGAGCTTCTTTTTTTTCTTCTTTTTTTTCTTTTTTTTTTTTTTAGACGAGCTTCTTCCAACTTACCTTCTTCTCCATCACGACACATGTGTTCGCGCGATGTTGTTGGTTACCTATAACGAACGTACGGTGGCCGAGGATGTTCCGTCCATTTCCGTGTGTTCGCGCTACTGAATGACATGTCATGTATAGATCAGTGGTGCACGCAGCGCGCATATATGTTGCCTAGTAACGAACGCAATCTGGCGGAGATACGTGCTGGCGGCAGGAAACTTCACTTTGTTTGCCTGCGCCTCGTATACAGAAAGCTTTCAGCCAGGACAACTTGGTTGGCATTGCCTTTTCAGCGTGAGAAATACATAGTGTGGCGTGTGAGCGTGTGAACCGGTCGAAATGCGTGTGTCTCACGGCCAATGCGTGAGACTTGAGAACCCTGCTGGAGTCAGAGTGCTATGCTCTTCATGCGCACTGAAAATTAAAACTGTTAAAAGAAAAGGCTCAAAAAACCAGGGTTGCAAACTTTGGTGTTTTGCCTGGAGTGAAATTTCTCCCCAAACATGCGCATGCAGCGGACTACTCGAAATTTTGGCCGGCGGCCACTGCTGCCGCCACCACAAACCTCTTATTGGTTGATGCATGGTGCTTATATTCAGAAAATTACTATATATTGGGGCCTTAGAATGATCAATTACCCTCCTGTTTGTCATAAATTTTTTTGCTTTGGCTAATTTTACTGGGAAAAAAAATAGTGGGAACATTTCTTGAAAACCTTCATTTATTAATATAGCTGCTCACAAAAAGTATTTACAAGTGCCTTGTAAACTAAAACAAATAAAATGAATATGAGAACGTGTCAGAATTTCGAATGGTTTCTCTTAAACACTGACGTTTGGCCTGTTGTAACGGGTTGTGGCAGACTTAGCATCTTTAATAATCTGAGCAGGGGGCTCATATTTGTAGCAGGGCTCAATGTCGCTCATTTTGATGGACATAATGGATGAAAGTGTGCCATCAAGAGACAGTTTATTCCGTGTGTCTGTCTTGTTCAGTCCAACCACAGAGAAGGTACGTTCAGCATCAGCGTTAGAATGTGGCAGAATCAACACTAGCTGTGCAACCGTTACCAGTCTTGGGAATCGTAGGGTTCAACTTATGCGGTTCTTCACAGTGCTGAGATAGGCCCACATTCGATCCATCCTGTGGTACTCTCCATCTGCACTCTCTCTGACAACAGCATCTCTCCAGATGGCATCAGGGATGTCTTTTTCTTCCATCATCTGGTACTCCAGGAATTCATCATTTAAGTGGTCTTGTTCCTTCAGCTCATCATATGGCAGGAGATGATTGAACCTAAACATTAGAGAAACAGAATGAACCATCACTAGTATACCAACTCCTAAACTTATTCCACCTTTTCTCCACTATAATCAGTGTTGAGAGTAACGCGTTACAAAAGTAATGCATTACAGTAACATATTACTTTTTGCTGTAACGCAGTAGTGTAAGGCATTACCAATCAATTTTCAGTAATATTTTACTCGGTACATGTTCAGTAACGCTTCTGTTACAACACACTTTTAGCCCAAAATTTTATAGTAAAAAAAAAAAAAAAACAAGACCACGAGACGAAGGAATGAAAGATGCAAGTTATTACCTGTTCGTGCAGTCAAATAGCCGCATATGGTGTCCAAGTTAGAAGACTAAATGACCGTTTCTGACACATTTGTATAGCGATTTATTTAATTCATATTCTCCCTCTATGTAGTCCAGTACAGTGAAGGCGTGTTTAGGGCGTGTTTTACAGGAGTGCCGCGACCCGCGAGATTACGGCTTCTGTGCTCGCGCTGGCAAGTGGAAGAGTGGCTAATTGGGTAAAGATGGCAGAAGACTGTACTTTCGCGAGATGGACGTATGCCCATTACTTCGAGTTTTTCAGAGATAAGGACAAGAAGAACGTCATAGTCAAATGCAACCTTTGTCCAAACCCGAAAGAACTATCGACGTCGCGAAATAGCACCAGCAATTTAAAAAAAACATCTCGAACGGTGTCATGCGACCACTGCACTTACTGAGAAGAGAAAAAATACAGAGGACGAGAGTATTAAGCCAAAGCAGCAGAAATTAAATTTCTCTCGGTGTGCCATCAAGCCACTTGAACCTCGAGAAGTCAGAAGACTTGTGGCAGAGTATCTCGTCGAAGACATGTTGCCATTGTCAACGGTGGAATCTCCTGCGTTCAAGAACCTAGTTAGCAAGATCCCTGTGACGACCAACAGTGATACGGTAAGCTAACGTTTCCATGAGTGATTAGCTAGAATTTTATCTAGCTAGTCAATCTAGCTAGTTTATGTTCATATAGATTCTAGGTCACTGGATAGAAATGTACAGGTGAAACTCGAAAAATTATAATATCATGTAAAAGTTTGTGTATTTCAGTAATTCAAATTAAAAGGTGAAACTAATATGTTATTAGCTGGTTATACTTTTCAGAGGGCCTGGATTTAATTTACCCATTAGCCACTCTTCTGTATTTAAAATACTTTAAAAAAAAATTATTTCATGTAATATTCTAATTTTTTGAGATTTACAATTTGGGGATTTCATAAGCTATAAGCCATAATCATGAAAATTATAACTTTTGCACTAATTTTTCGAGTTTCACCTGTGTAGTCAAAATGTTATAGCCATCCACAGACCTAAACTGAATGTGTTGACCTAAACTTAAAATGTATCTAAAATAAATTGATTGCAACCACTTACCTAAAAAAAAGTTAATTCAAGTAATCATTTTTCAGTGTACAGTATATAGCAGCATAATGTGAATGTTTACTCTTGCATCTGTCAATGGAACATTGATTCTTGGAACAGACAATGAATTTGCAAACGTGTGATTAAGCATAGCATGATCATGAACTGGAGTTTTAATATCTATTTATGTTACTTATTTTTCAGCATGTACTGCCATGCAGAAAAACGTTCACCAAAGAACTGGATAGGACCTATACTGCTATGGAAAAAGAGCTAAAAAAAACAATTGATGAGCAGCAGTACGTGTCAACAACTGCAGACATATGGACTGCCCACAACAGGAGTTTTTTGGGGGTGACGGTCCATTGGATCGATTCGGAGACATTGCAACGGAAGAAGGCTGCAATCGCTTGTCGTAGGTTCAGAGGTAGACACACTTATGACGCAATTGCATCTGAACTTGAGGATATTTTTTCCCAGTATGGATTAACTACTGAAAAAGTGACTGCATGTGTGACAGACAATGGCAGCAACTTTGTTAAAGCTTTTAAGGAATACCAACAAGTCGAAACTGAGGAGGACGAAGAAGAAGAAGAGGAGGAGGATGATGGGAAAGTGACCTTCACCGACCTCCAAAGCGTTCTCACTGAAGGAGACGATGAGGATGCACAGCGAGGGCTGTGTGTGTTGCCTGCACATCACAGATGTGCAGCTCACACGCTCAACCTCATTGCCAACAATGAGATTCATAAATGGTTGGTATCAAACCCAGAATCCAGGGCTGTTTACCGCAGTTCCACAGCTAAGTGTTCAGCACTATGGACCAAAGCTAGCCGGTCCACAGTTGCATCTGAGTGCCTAGAAGAGATCAGTAAAAGGAAGTTGATTGTGCCCTCAGTCACCCGGTGGAATTCATTTTATGACGCCTATGTTCGGATCATAGAAATGCCACTAACTGACATTAACAATCTATGCACACAGGTTCAGATTAAATGCATGAATGAAAGGGAATACCAGTTTCTGAAAGAATACTGCTCCATTATGAAGCCTTTCAGTGCTACACTGGACATCCTACAGGGTGAGGAAACTTGTTTTTATGGGACACTTCAACCAACACTTGAAGTTCTAATGGCCAAAACTTTAGCACTGCAAAATGGCCTTTCACAAATGATCACTGGGTTGCCTGAAATAATTGTGGGAGCAATTAAAACTCGCTTTGCCACAACAATTGACTCCAAGGATGCCCTACTGGCTGCCGTCTCACTACCCAAATTTAAACTGCGCTGGGTAAAAGAGGAAACCAGAAGAGATCACCTCAAGTACCTTCTCACCACTGAGTGTCGCACCCTAACAGTTGAAGAGCCTGCCACCCCAATGATTGGTGCTCCTCAACCTGCTGCAGTCACCTCCCGTGATGATGACTTCTTTTCATTTGATGAAAAGCCCAATGCCATGGCTGATACACCTATGTCAGTGGAAACAGAGGTAGCCTCTTATTTCAATTCTGATCCAGTGATGGAAAGCCTGCATCAGTTTCCAAGAATTAAAAAAATTGCACTACGTTATAATGCACCAACACCATCCAGTGCACCGGTCGAAAGACTTTTCAGTCTTGGTAGTCTGGTACTCACCCCAAAACGCAACCGTCTTGGTAATGAACGCTTTCAGCGCCTTATTCTGATGCGGTACAACAGATATTTCAGTCAAATGGAATAGGCCCACCATAGTCGTAAGGAAGCACAGCTTCAATTTCCCTTTACTTGAACTTTTCCATGTTTAGCTGCACACCACCTCTGTTTTATATTTGGCAGGAAACAGAACTTTTTAAATCCAATTTTCCTGTTATCAATATCTGACCATTACTTAAGTTTTGAAGATTTTGAACCATATTTGCTGTCAGGCCTTGTGGGCCCAAACCCCTTAATTTCAGTTTTGTATTTCCAAAAGTTTTTATTTGCATTTATTTCTCGTATGACTTCCTTATTGCTGAATTTTTTTGAAGTTGTGACTTAGCCATATTTCCTGTTAGGTCCAAGCACTTTAATCTCATTTTTGTATTCTCGAAAATTGTCTAGTCTCAGTTTGAAGCCTTTAGTTTCATAGAGACAATTGCAATCTGTCTTGTTGTAGCCTAAGTGGATTTATTTGAACATTCCTTTATTTGGAAGCCTGTTTTGTTTGAGCCTTTTTAGAGGCATATAAGCCTAAGGGTCTCTATTTGTTCTTTTTTTTTTTTCTTCTAAGCAGCAGTTAGGCTATGTTTAGCCTATGTTCATTTTCATGGACTAAAATGACAGGCTGAGGGTTGGTCCTCCAATTGCACTTTATACTTCCAGAGAAAGCAGCATAAGCTATGTTCATCATGCTCACTTTGTGCATGACAGTTTTGTATTGTGAACCTCTTGAATTCAAAGAAAATAAATTAATGGCAACAATAAAAGAACAGATGTGCATCTTGTGACTTCTTGTCATGGCATTAAAGTTTACATACAGTTCTGTTGTCTCTAAAATGAATAGGGTAAAGAAGAAGAACCGCACTCTCTAGTTAAATCTCATGAAGATTTATTCATTCACCATGTCCACACAGACGCGTTTCGGCCTAAGCCATCATCAGTGAGGCCGAAATTAGGCCGAAACGCGTCTGTGTGGACATGGTGAATGAATAAATCTTCATGAGATTTAACTAGAGAGTGCGGTTCTTCTTCTTTACTTTGATCACTGTTTTATAACTCGCACCCAAAAAACGTCTTGGCAGTTGAGCGCGCCTAGTTTGAGCATCTAAAATGAATAGACCAAAGCTATTGCCAGATAATCTCTTTACCTCCACCATACTTTTAACAGACTTGGATCGTTTGTGATTCTGTTTGTCATCCTCTCTTTCTTCTCTTGAGCCTTCACTTTGCCAATTATATGATATTGTTAGTAGCCTGGATAGCACACAATCATTATGCTACATAATATTGCCTTCTACTGGATGTAAAATGCTCTGTAGTACATTTTGCTTTTTTATTTTTTATATTATAACTACATCTGTAGTTATTTTGGTGAAAGTAACTCAAAAGTAATACAGGAGTAATGTAACGCATTACAATTCTGAGACAGTAATATTGTAAGGTAATGAATTACTTTTTAGTAACAGTAACAAGTAATATATAATGTATTACAGTTTGGAAGTAACTTGCACAACACTGACTATAATGATGGTAGGATGGATACCTTTGAACAAAGTACTGCACATAATCCACAGCAACATCCGTTTTCTGCTTGAAGTCCACAAACTTGGCATACTGCAGCATGTGGTCATTCAGAGGCAACTTGGATAAGGCATACTCCACTGATCTTATGAAGAAACTTCTTGCTGCCATGTGGAACTTCTTAACAGCCTCAGGGGAGACATGACCAGCTTCAAGGAGTCTGTTCAAAGTGGTTCTTGTTGTGAAGCCAATGCCAAGCTGTGAATCTACAGGCATCACAGAATGCACAATTGATCACCATGAGCAACTTAAGACCAGCCAACAAAGTGTTAAGATAACTGTCTTTTGTGCGCTCATACTGACCTGGGAGTTGGTTCTCTTCATTCATGATGTCCACACTGTCCACATCAACTGTTCTGAAAGCTCCTGGCTTCAGGAATTTTGACATCAGTTTCTTTATGAAAAACCTGATCTTTAGTAAACAAAAAACACAAAAATGTTATTCTACTTACTTTTAAGCAAAGCAGTTGGGATGGCTCAGAAATAAGGATTCAAGTCCCAAGTAATAATCTGTAATATTAACGACTTGCAACATTGAATGTTTCATACTTGGTCATGTAGTAGGTAGACAGAGGGGTCTTGACGTTGGAAGAGAAGGTTGAAGTTTGTAAAGATGATCAGCGTGGACTGATAAAAGAGCAGGTGAATTTCAGTCATTGGATCTTCAAACAGCACACGCAATCGGACGCATCTTGCTTGTTTCTCATCTGAAAGTAGAAATACAGGCAAAAGCAATAGGAATATCAATAGGAAACAATAAGTAATGATTAATGAAATGGAATATTGATGAAAAGTTAATTTAGGCTACTTCAATAATTCTGAAATCTAATCAGACAGAGAATGTCAAGGCTCAGAAAACTTTGCATTTATGCTCATTTGAGTTAATGATATATATACCAGCAATAATGATGGTGTGACAAAGTGAATCTGAAAATATTGAACTGCTTCATAATATTCTAATTTTCTGAGATACTCAGTTCTGTTTTAAAACCTGTAAGCTATAGCCTAATCATCAAAATTAGACTTGGCATTTTTCACATTGTGTATAATGAATCAATGAAACATTGAATTACGTTATTGAATGAAAAAATGAACTTTTACTCAATGTAATTCATTGATCCCTACTTGTAATCTTGTGATGTTATACATTACTCAGGATAGGGTTCCATAGCAAGTGATATTCAGTCAATAATTTTATAAAGCATACACTAGGTCAATACTTACTGCAGCTTCCAAAATAACTCTTGAGCGCAGCATAGAGGCGTAGAATACGGGTCACAACCTGCTCCAGAAGCAGCGTCTCCATGTAAGTCGTGTCACAGAACACACAAAACTCTGAAATGATAAACCATTGATTAATCCAAATGAGCAGTTCAATGTATTTAAATGTCTTTAAAATAAATGTATTCTACTTAGATTTATCGATAAGCTCAAATACAATTTTACAGTCCTATTACCCCTCACATTTAGGCAGGGTATTGAAATGGTCTGTTTTGGCCGAATGGCCCCTCTTTAGCAACAATTACTGAAATGTAGTTAAAATTTCATAATAAATGAGGTGGCTGAATTACCATCAAGTTTATTCTTCCGTTTGGTGCTGCTCTTGAACCAATAGCCCACATCCACAGCCATGTCTTCAAAATCAAACCCTGTGATCTATTTTTTTAAAGGCAGATATTAACACAGTTCCCAGAAAGCATGCAAGTGTTGTATGTAAATAAATATTTTCCTTTGGAGTACATTTGTGTAATACGTGTCTGGAACTAATTTCAGTCTTTACCTCAGTGTACACTGCACCAGCAGCAGATGCATTATTGTGCACTATGTGGCACGGGCAGCCCAATATGAACAAGGAGGGGTGCTCTTTCAGCACCCTTGTTTTTATGGAGTTTCTGTCTCCCACATTGACACTGGCATTGTCGACCGATAGAGAAATGCAATTAGTCCACGGTATTGAGTGCTTCTTCAACACAGAGTCTATTTTGGCAAAAATGGTTGCTGCAGTGCCACAATGCTCTCCTTCTGTTACCCCCATGTCTAGGAATCGGTGGACCACCCCATCCTTGTCAAAGGTTTTTATAGTAATGGGATTCATTTTCTCCTTCCCTGAATTCACAGTAATATAGTTAAGTCAGGCCAAAGTTAGTTGCAAAAGGTACCCAAGAGAAATAATTAAATGTCACCTGTGTCATTGGACCCATCTGTTGTGAGACTGAACGGCTTCTCCCTTAAGTGTTTTACAAGCTCCGACAAAAGATAGGGACTGACTGCTCCATTAATGATGGCCGACGTTTTGGTTCTCGCTGAAGAATACTTCTTCGCAATTTTTGAATCTGGAAAACACTCCCTGAAAAGAGGACTAAGATGATCAGCGAAAGCTAATGGAATATTATGGTTGACCATGGCCACCGCAACCTTGATCTCTGCTCTCCTAGTCTGCAAAATGAGAAACATAAATGTTACCTTTAGTACATAAATAAAGTAAAATATATAATACATAAAAAGATGTAATTTAACATCTGAAGTTGAACGTGAGCCTATGTGAGAACTTGCATGGATCTTAATTTACTAAATCACCTGAGTCTCAAGATTCAGTTCATCAGTTCTTGAACAAAACAAACTGTGTATTCTCTGGGAGCTTTCAAGACTTTTCTGGGTTTTTTTGTGACCGTCACTGATGATGTGCCTCTGCACATCCGCTCTCCCTTGCAGTCGTAGTCCGCAGTCGTAATAGCGATCTCAAACCTAATTATATAACGCAAAATGCCGCGATTTAATATGAAATAAACAAATTAGGGCTATATAACGCATCTCTTCTTTTTTGTCATCCTTTGACTAGTGTTACAAGATCCCCTTCTTATTCGAGCAAATGCCTTTTCGCATTTTGCACGACAAGAAGTGAAAAGCTGCCTGTGAATGCCCTAGAATAGATGAGACTCGCATAATGCGCATGCACTGACCGCGTGCCAGAATATACAGTTCTCTTTCGAGCTTGAACGAACAATAACACACACAATTATGCCAAAATGTCGTTTTGTCTAGTATCTTCATAACATAAGAAAAGTCTATGGATGAAAAGAGTTGTGCTATGAGGCGCGTGTGAGATCCGCGTCTCGGCAACGGGTTCTCTTAAAGGGCCAGCAGCGAATAAAGCGTTCTGTCGGTAAAGTTAATCAAAGAACAAAGGGAAATTAGAAAATTACTCACTGATCTTGACTAAAGAACTTTTGTAGCTTTAATAAGGATTATTCTATATATAATTTATGATTCATTCTGTACCTGTTAAGACAGGAAGGGCACAGGTAAATATGTTTTTTATTATGGGTTTATGTGGGGATTGTTTGAAGTTCACTTAATTTAAAAGCTGTTATATATATTTTTTAAGCCTAATATTTTTTTAAAAGTTGATAGCTTTCAATTGTAATGATGCAATCACTGTAATGTTGGTTTGGTTGATGGTTTATTGATCATTATAGGTGTTATCAATCTTTAAGTTGTTGTTTTTAGTTTGAGTTGAGAAATAAACATTAATCTGTGTGTGCATTTTACTTTAGAACCAAGCAAGTTGGACTCATGAAACCATTTTATTATATCGGAGTCGCATATCGCAATTGCAATATTGGCTCAATAATGGCAATATGACATTTTCCCCAAATCGTGCAGCCCTACTAAGCATAGATTATAGATATAATCCCTTCGCTATGTTCTTTTCAATGTGAAGCGTTGCGTGCTGTGACTTGGTGTTGCTTCAAGTGCATCATTCTGCACACGGGATGCGCATGATCGCTTATAATACTTTGGGGAGACAAGGGGGCGTGGCCTAAGGGAATATCACTCGTGGGCCACGCCCCCTCCCCCTGGGGAAATGGGCCTGCCCCCACAGCTTGAAAAAATCCTAGAGGAAACACTGCAGTGTATGAGCATGATTGACTATGGCATAGGGCTCCACTTAGGGCTCTAAAGAATAAGAGCAAGAGGTTGAGTGAACTGCAGCCTTACACTGATTGGTAAACTGCACTGTTTTATTAATTCACTCCCCCCCCCCCCCCCCCCCCCATTTCTGATAATTTACTTACCCTGATGTCAAAGATATCCATGTCTTTCTTTCTTCAGTCGAAAATAAATTAAGTTTTTTGAGGAAAACATTCTAGGATTTCAATGGTAACCAAAGATTCAAATTTTCAAATAAGGTTCAAATGTCCGTCTCAATGTAGCTTCGAAGTCTCGACACGATCCCAGTCAAGAAATAAGGGTCTAATCTAGCGAAACGATCGGTCATTAAAAATTTTTTTTTTTTTTTAAAAATTACTAAAAATAATATAATATAATAATATAATATTATATTATATATATACCTTTGAAACTTCTTTGAACATTTGAATAGTTGGTGGCCATTGAAGTCCATTCTGTGTATAAAAAATTTAAGTGATACATAGATATCTTGGATGACATCAGGGTGAGTTTGAAAGTCAACTTAATATTTTAAGATGCTGGACATGAATATTAAATTAATTTACATCAAGAAATATTTGGGCAGAAGGCGCCCCCTAGTGGTCTAACCCTTACCCTACACCATACCTAAACTTAACCATTAACCGAAGCGTCTCATTAGACGTTAAAGGGTGCCATGTGCGTTGGATATTTACGCTTTTGCAAAAGCGTCCTATATGGCGCTTTGGGATGAGAACGCGTTGGGCTTTTGTGTAGGACATGCAGTATATGACATATATGATTAAAAAATATATTAATATTATGCAATTTATATATGTGGATTTTGCAGCATATATGTCCCTTACAATATTCTGTTGGAACATATAAGAATCACAGGTGTTTTTAGAAAACCTTTTCCATATGGGATGATACTTATGAAAATACTAAATAGGGACACATAAAGCTGTTCAACTGTTCATTTATAGCCTATACCTTACGAAGATGTGATTTTTATGGAGTTTATTTCTTGGTCATAGTGATCTTATTTATTTACAAACTTGCTTTTGACTGTAAGCAAGTAGGCTATATTCGTTAAGTATTCACGTACAAAAGTCAAGTAATGAGGGGTCACAAAGGATACCAACACTAACATCGTCTTTTACAATATGATGCATTGTTAAACTACTCAACAGTAAAGTACTTTAAATATAACACCCTTCAACATATTCAGATGTAAAATGCAACATACACATAGCGCAGCAGTAATATTAATGCAACAACATCATATCTAAAAACCCAGAGTATTATTTTTTGTATGCATAATACATACATTTACTTTTACTCTTCAATGAGCAAGGTTTTAAATATAACTAGTAATATTTCCCCTATGTGCCATTATTAAAACTCTTTTGTTTCTTTCCATAAATCAGACCAGACCCCTGTACTGCAGGATAAACCTGAATGTGCCTGTGCTGGACAGGTTTTTTAATGACATGGATACACGACCTGATTTTCGGCTGAGCAGGGAGGCCCTGAGAGTTCTGCTGGACCTGTTGGGGAATGAACGGCAACACGGATGGGGTTCCACAATAGAGACCCTGGTGTTTCTTTTCTGGCTGGCGTGTGGCACATCATACAGGGTCGTTTCCGGAGTGTTTGACATGCCTCGTTCCACTGTCCAACGCATTGTCC